TGATCTAGTAGTGAGACCCTGAACACCCTGTAGACCCTTCCCTAAAATACAAAATAAATAAATAAATAAATAAATAAAGTGACATTAACAATGGTGGTATCATTGTAGGGAAACCGGAAGCCTCTACACTGCAGGAAGGAATGTAAAATAGCGCAGTAGTGACGGCACTGGAAGAGTTTGGTGATTCCTCAAATGGGTAAGCACAGAATTACAGTATGGCCCAGTAATTCCTTTGCCAGGTACATAACCGAAGGATTTGAAAGCAGCAACCTAAATAGATATTAGGATACCCATATGCAGAGCAAAACTATTCATAGTAGCCAAAGATCAGAGTGATCCAAGTGTCCACCTGCAGAGGAATAGATAAATAAATTGTAGTACACACACATGCATGGGCAGGTGCAAGCACACTCACTCTCTCTCTCTCTCACACACACACACGCACACACACACACACACACACACACTTGCATCCTTAAAAATATGCAAACACATACCATAAAAATTTGATCTCAAAAACAATATATTAAATGAGATAGGCCATTCACGGAAAATTACAGTATTTTGAAAAAAGAGATTGTAGAGGATTTCAGAAAATGGAAAGATATTCCCTGCTCTTGGATAGGTAGAACCAATATTGTGAAGATGGTCATACTCCCAAAATTGTTGTATAGATTTAATGCAATTCCTATGAGACTACCACCAACATACCTCACAGACCTGGAGAAATTGTTCCTAAAATTCATCTGGAATCGAAAAAAAAACTAGAATAGCAAAGGCAATCCTGGCCAACAAAGACAAAGCAGGAGGCATTACAATTCCTAACTTAAAATTACACTACAAAGCTACTGTAATAAAATCAGCATGGTACTGGCAACAGAATAGACCTGAGGATCAATGGAATAGACGAGTAGATGCAGAGGCCTCTAGGAATGTTCTCAGTCACCTGATCTTTGACAAAGGGGCCAAACACACTTACTGGAAGAAAGATAGTCTCTTTAACAAATGGTGCTGGAAAAATTGGCTCTCTATATGCCGAAGATTAAAACTTGACCCAGGTCTATCACCATGCACTAAACGAAAGTCAAAATGGATTAAAGAACTGAACTTTAAAACAGAAACATTAAATCTCCTAGAAGAGAAAGTAGGAGGATCTCTTGAAGACATAGGGGTAGGCAAAGAGTTTATGAACAGAAACCAAATCACATGGGAAACACTTGAAAGAATTAACAACTGGGACCTGCTCTTACTGAGAAGTTTTTTCACGTCAAAAGAAATTATCAACAAAGTGAAAAGACAACCCACAAACTTTGAAAAAATCTTAACTAATAAGCACTCAGACAAAGGTCTGCTCTCTAGAATTTATAAAGAACTAAAGAACA